CTGAAACTAGGCCAACATCAAACAGACAGAGGAGAAGAGAAAAAAATAGAGAGAGGAAGGTAAGTGTATGAGGTCTCTTATGTCTGGTTTATTCTTAGAGAGAGAGGGAGAGAAAAAACAATAGCATGCGTCTGTCTCGATTTGAGTTATTCGTTGGCGACTGTGTTGATCTTGTTTCAAGTTAATGAGTTAGTTGGTCCGATCGCATTATCCTAAAAAATATTCTCGAGATAGAGACGTACTCGAGAAGAAAAAAAAAATAGAGAAAATATCAATACAACCTCGATGACCGACACATACAGGTATGAGATAATTTCATGAGAATCTGGATATGCGCACGTATTATTTTATTGACCTTGAACTTCGTGCGATCTAGACAATAGATTTGAACTTTAGTTAGTTTTGTTTATATTAGTATTCGTTCTATCTATCTATACGAATAATTAACTAAAATTGAAGTGGATCATTGCTAGTGAAAAAGATTTCAATCGTTTATTTGTACACATTAGCCTAGTGTCCTTAAAAACATACGGGTGCAATATATGTATGGATGAGTATATCTCACATCTCAAAAACATATGACACCCATGATTAACATAAAGTGCGCTTTATGAGAGCATGTGCATCATTGGAAATGGATGGATATATGTATATATTGACCAGTTCATATAATTAAAATCGAAAGAAAATGAATAGTTAATCATTTTGTTATGATATGAAATATCATGACATCTATACCTCAGTTAGTCTCTTTCGTATTTTCCTTGTTGTTATCTATAGATATATGCGTTTAGTTACATAAAAAGGGGAGTTATAACACACTTTGTCATCATTATCATTCTTTTCATGAGTGAAATATAGATAAGTAGATTTATGTTTTGCTTCTTCTTCTTCTTCTAGATTAGTAAGCCCTAAAAAAGGAGGATGCAATACGATTTCGTTGATGATTTAACAGAAATTGCAAGTTTTGATGGTTTAGAAACGAAAGAAAATATGCATTTATATCAAACACATCAACCACAAGACAGGTATAAAAAAAGATAGATTTAATTGAAATAAATGTAAAAAAAAATAACTCATATTTTCTTTAGTTTTCTTAAATCAACAATATCTAATAGTAATATGATAACAACCAGTGATATTTGGCAAACTTCATCATCAAATAGTAATACAATAAATCAATCATTTTATTTCCCATCTTCATTTGATTTTAATAATACATCAAATTCAAATCAATATCATACAATGGATAATAACAATTACGATTATAATTCATTACCTGATGTATCATCATCATCAGCATCAGCATCAACTTACTTAATGGATCCATATTCACATATGTTTACCAATAATTATCCAATTGATCCATATTCTACACAAACATCATATAATTCAACATCAATGGATTATACATCATCAACATATTTATCAACAGCAACAGATTCATATCAACATCTTCATCCTATGTATACAAATACAAATGGGATGACTATTCCACCTGCTTCATCATATCTTTCATCATCATCATCATCGTGTATTGATATTCAACCTGATTATCAATCAACAATGTCACAATGGGATTCGACTATGATTAAAATGCGTACACACGATGGTATGTAGTGTTCTACATCATCCAGAAATGGATGCCAATCTGTCCCCCTTCTTTATTTTTTTTTCTTCTTTTGCTTGTACAAAAAACAAAAGTGAGAGAAAGGAGATGTCCGTTTTCTAGTCACATCAGCATCGAACTCTAGCAATAGTAGTACTAGTGCTAGCAAACAACCATGTCTCGTATGTCATGAAGAATCATCCGGCTATCATTTTGGTGCATATACATGTGAATCGTGCAAAGCATTTTATCGACGAGTGACGAAAGGTAAGAAAGAAGACTGCCTAGTTTAATCTTTCGTCAATAGGACTTACTTTTTTTATGAGTCCAAAAAATAATTATATGATTACATCTTAGTTTTTGATCAGTAGAAAAAGGAGGACCTCAAGCAATTCGTTTCACATTGTCAATTAGCTTTTTTCTTTTTCTAATATATAGATCCACGTATTGAAATTAAACATTCTTGTGAAGTTCCATTACCAAATATAACAAAATTAAATCGAAAAGATTGTCGAGCATGTCGTAAAGCTAAATGTGATCGAGTTGGAATGACAGCCATGCCTAAAGATCGTGCACCACGAACAACAACAACTAAAACAACAACTTATAAAACTCCAACAATACCTATAACAGATCTTCTTGAACAACTTGCTCGTGATCTTACCTATGATCAATTATCAACTTCGTCAGCATTAGAAAGTCTTCTTCGTATTATTGATTTACCACCAATTCTTCCAATAAATATTAATTATCATACAATTTATATGAATGCTGTTCGTATATGGAGAAATCAATATAATCATCCATTACAAATTATCGCTGATGCATCATTAATGGATACATTTCCTGTTCTTCTCTTTCTTTTTCATATATTTATAACAATGACAGAAAATGATGAAGATAAATCAACAAATAATAGTAAATTTAATAAACTTGTTAATATACTTCAACAAGAAATTCATCGTATTACCGGTACAGATCATCGATCTGCTTCACGTATAAAAGCTTTATTTATGAAGTGTTATGTTGCACTTGCTCAATATCCAAATAGTACAAATCTTCTTGATGATAATAATAGTATATCTCAATCACAATTTTTATCTTATCAACCATATCCAGTCTATGGACAATAAATAAACTCTTTATATTGTGCCATCATTTTTTTCTTTTTTTTGTTAAATTTATTTCTTTTCTGGCGTTTTTTTTTTATTATTATTAATCAAATAGTAAACATTTCATATTTCACAACAATAGAAAAAGCGATATATATATAACTATGATCCCACTATATATATAAAATACAGCACAGAAAGACGATAGACATATATCTGTTTATATGAAGAAAAACCAAAATTGAATTTGTTTTATGATAATATTGTTGGATTTGACCATGCTATTCGTCGTTTTTCAATATCATGTATAAGATCAGTTCGTTTTTCTTCAAGATCTCGTCGTACATGAGCTTTATAATCGGCTTCTTCACGAAATTTACGTGATACAACATCTTTATATAAACGATCAGCTTCTTGACAAAGTATATTATCATGATGAACTTGATTACGTTGAGCTTCTTCTTGTTGTCGACGTTGCTAAATAGAAGATTACATCATAATTAAATGCAATAATCCTCTTACAGATACATACGGAATCTTTCGTAGTTTTTTGTTCATTGGAATGACGTGCTTGTGTAGTATCAAAACTTCGTTGAGCATATTGATTTTGTTTAAAACGTATTCGATCATTCGCTTGTTCTTCAACTGCTTGTGTTCTAATAGGAAATAAATTAGTTTTGAATATGTTAATTCTTAGTACTATTACCGTTGATGGTTTTGATGTATTATTTGATTACGTTGTTGTCGTTTAGCTTCCATGATTCGATCAGATTTATCTAATTCTTGTTGTTGACGATTTTGAATACGTTGTGATTGTTCTTTTGCTTGTTGTCGTTTGTAATGTTCACGTTGAACGTGTTCGTGATGAAGTTCTTTTTTTACTTCATGTTGAGCCTTTTAGAAAATATATTTTATATAGAATACTAACAGAAATTTTTTTTGCATACTTTCTCATATAAATGACCTAAATGGTGTCGACGAGCCGAATTATTTAATGAAGAATTTGGTATAGGAGGAGGAAGAGAAGGAGCTATTATGAAATTATTTATTTAGTTTATAGAAATTTGATTAGATTTTACCAGGTGCTGATTTTAATTGTCTTGCATGCCAATGTTCAATTGAAATAGGTCCTGATGATGATCGATAAATATTATTTGACATAACATTACTATCTGGTTTTGTTTTTTGACATGTTGATGGTGTGTGTGTATGAGTATGTTGATGTGTATCAATCGATGATTTAAGACATGATTTTAATGGAGTTGATTCACGAGACATATCAAGATCATCAACAGAATATCGTCGAACAGAAGATGAATCATTGAAACAAACATTTTTCTTTCTTGTTGAATATGGACTTGGTGAAGAATTAGTTGAATGTGAATGTTGATGAGGATGCTGATGATGATGATGGTTATGATGAGATGAAGTTGAAAGAGGACGTGGTGGTAATGATTGTGGTGGAGGAACAGATGGTGGTCGTTCATCAAGAAGAAACCAATGTTGTTTAATTTGATCATCAACTCTACGATTAAGTTCATCACTTGTCATTAAACTCTGTGGTCTTTGCTGTGAAATCATAATAAGATTATTAACCTCATGACTATTAACACTTGTTGGTATATTTTGATGAGGAACAAGTACAACAGGTGATGTACTTTGAAATTGTTGATTCGGAAGAAAAAATGGCCAATTATCAGAAGTCATTGGAAATGGTGCAGGCATTGGATAACCGGGTAAAAGTTTAGTTGGATAAGCAACTGAATTATTTTGAAGAAATTGTCGAGCAGTTGGTGGTATTGTAAGTTCAAATTTAATACGTTCATATCTTAAAAATAATTAATAATAAGAAAACAAAAGAAAAAAAAAAGAATTTATTTATTTACAATGCAGATGGAATCCATATTGCTTCTTGTAATCTTTTTACTGTAATTGTTTTTCCATTTGCAAAATGAATAATTAATGGACGAATTTCACCACCTATAAAAAAAAATATAGACAAAAATATATAAAAGGTATAAAGTCTAGAATTACTTTCACATGAAGCACGTTTTTCGAAACCATCAAGTACTTCTCCAGGTACAAAACGACCTTCATGTCCATCAGGAGCAAGAACAAAATCTCCTGTTTGAATTTTATGCATTAATGCATCTGTATAATGTATAATATCAAATAAATATGTTGGTTGAAAATCTGATTCACTAAAACCACCGGCACTTCGTGGACCAAATTCAATCATAAATTGATTAATATTTAACTTAAAATTGAAAAAATATAAATTTAAATAAATTTAAGAATTAAAAAGTCTTACTTGATTAAGAATTTTACCACGATAATAATATCCATCTTTATCTTTTCTTGCTAAGCATTCTTGTCCAATTAAAAGTGTTCCAATTTCGGATGAAACAGCTGTATCCATGGGTGGTCCGCCTATTGGGGTAGGTAATGATGTATCAAGTACTAATAAAGGATTCGTTGCATCTTGTATTTGATAATTAATCATTGGTGCAAGACTTTCTAATGAACCTGTTCGAGAAAAATGTGCTATGGTTAATGAACCACGTGTTAATAATGCTAAATCTTGAAGAAATTTAACAACAGTTTCTTGTTCTTGTTCTGTATTTGATGGTGTATTTATATAGAAGATATGACATGGACGTTTTTCTTGTTGTTGATGTTGAAGAAAATTTATAATAACTTGTGGTTCTTGATCAGGTATACCATCTGTAATAAGTACAACTTGTTGACATAATGTATCAGCAAATGTAGTCAATAAACCACCTAACGTATTTGTACCTGTTTTAGGTTCTAATGAACGTAGCCAATCATCAGCAACAACAACAGATGGATGTGACCAAAATACACATCGATCAGCCCATCGACGTATATTTGAATTAAATTCTATTAAATTAAAAAGTAATGTTTGATGTGGGTTTGGTATATCAACTGCATGTACACGTAGATATGCGGAAAGATGTTCACGAACAGTAGCTAAACATGAATACATTGAACCACTCGTGTCAATTAAAAATGTTGTATTAAGATTTGGTACTATAGAACCAAATAGATTCATTGTTGCTATCATTCTTTCTCTATGTGAAAATCAATTGATGTATAAAAATTCACCAACAAGTGTTAAAATCTTGAGCATATAAACACAACGCCATTAAACGTTCTGTTGTTATGTCTCTAACCAGCAAACATATGTAATCATTTAACATACTGATCACAACTGCCATCTATAGTAAAATCATACTTTATTGTTTTAAATTTATTTTTAGTTGAAATAATGACCTAGTTCTTTTTATAATACGCATAAAGTAATATCAGCATGATAAATCGATTTTTTTTCTCTATACTCAATAATTTGGGAATTTAAACATATGATACACAACAGGTGTATTTTTATTCTCAATGATATACTATTTAATGATGAATACAATAAATCATTTTTTTGTGTTATTAGACTGATATATTATAAAATGCATTGTCATCAATTGATTTTTACATTGATCATTGTGGTCGCGACTAGTGAATATAACATATTCATTACTGGTAATTGATCATTTCTTTCGTTTCTTTTTCAATATAAATTTTTCATTAATTATAGCAGCTGATCCAAGTGCACCAGTTTGGCCAGTTGCCTTTCAAGAAACCTTCCTTGAAACAAGTACTTTACCAATAATTGGAACAGGTAAAAATATCAAAGGAACTTATTATTATGATTTCGATCAAAAAGCTGTGTAAGATTTTATTTTTCTATTGATTTTTTTATCTTTCTATCTATTCAATAGTCGTATTGATCGTTCAACAGGCAAATATGATCGTTATTGTAGTTCAATACATGCTTTTGCAGACACACCATGTACTCATCTTGTTGTAAAAGGTCTTCGTTATCTTGTATTTCCATCATTAAAATCATGTTGTGCATGTTGTACATCCGAAAGTGGTTGTGGTATTGTAAAACCTGATTGGTTATCTGATTCAACATTTATTGGATATAATACAACAGATTCAATTAAATATCAAGTATGGGATAAAAAAGGTTTACAAGATAATTTCTATTGGCAAGTGGACAGTACTCAAGCACCATATGTAATTGATCAACGTCCTAATGATTTAATGGTATTTGATATAACTAGTTTTAAGAAAGGTGCTATTGATCCAAGTATATTTGCCTTACCTTCATATTGTTCAAAAGATCATAAATGTCCTCTTCTATCTGTTTGCACTGTAGCTTGATAAAATTGTATTTCTTTTTTTTGTTATAATTAAAGAAATAATAAAAAAAAAAATCAAAATTCAATTTCATTTTTAAATAAATTACGTATACGGTATTCGAGTATAACAACGAAACGACTCATATGTTCACTCATTTATCACAGTTATGCTTGAATGATTCTTTTGATTTCTTTTCAAACAGAAGTCAAAAGAAACTACTACAATATATATCATCTTCGTTTTTTTTTTCTTCGTGTTCAATTTTAGTTGAAAAAATTGTATTGTAAATTAATATAAATTTTTTGTTTTATTAGAACATATTTGCGTATCATTATGGTTACGATATACAAAACAAAATCATATAAAGAATATTCATTTTGTCTCTATATTTGTTTCGTTCGATCGATCATTTAACTTAGTGTAGTACAATAAGGACAGTGAGAAAAAAATAAATGTATACTACTCGTGCTTGCTCACTCGTACAATATTTTATTGCATCTAGTGCATTTTTTTCTTTCTCCATTTTACATATACGTATACAATAATTCATATATATTGTCCGAACCCTTTTTCTGATATTATTATTATTATGATTAGTCATCGATTAAGATCACTACCTGTAACTGGTTATTATGAATATTTATCACAAACACGTTTCCGTGTTAATGTCACTCCAAATGAAGGTATTGACAGCGAAGAAACACCAATAAAAAATACGCCACATTGTGTTTCAATGTTGATGGAAAATGGTAATAATAAACCTTCTTTAATAAAATCATCATCTCTCGATAATGTACAACATCAATTATCGAATCTTAATGATAAAGATGTAACAAAATGGTCATCGACAGAAGTACAACGATGGGTTGAAGATCAATGTCGAAAATTTGAATTAACAAAGGCAACAACGGAAAAATTTCAAATGAATGGTAAGAATTTAATTGAATATATATATATATATGTATATATTCCATTCTTTTTAGGTCAAGCATTAGTATTATTGACTAAACATGATTTTCTTAGACGTTCACCTGATGGAGGTGAAATACTTTATTATGCATTACAACGATTAATTAGTAAGTTCTATTGTTTTATTATTATTTATTATAACTTGAATTTTAGAATTAGATCCAAATAAATTCAATTCAGTTCGTGTTGGTCAAAGCTTATTTAAAACTAAACCAACAACTCGTCAAAATCCTCGAATTATTGAACTTGATTCAGATACAGATGAACATAATAGTGTTACAAGTAATTCATCATCAACAAAACCAATTGTTGAAGAACCTGATGATCCACCATTAAGTCGTTCACCAGATTCCGATTCAATTTATGAAAATTATCAACAACAACCACAACAACAATATCCTCATTCATTTATTTATAGCAATCCACATATTCGTCAAACAGTTTTTACAATACCAACAGCACCTACAGCTCCATATTATCATCAACAACAAGCATATCCGAATGCTTATATGTATCCTCAACATCCTATTCATCCACAAATGCCTCAACAACAATTTTTTCATGCTGCACATCCACAAGTACAACCAAATATACATTTTATGAATCAATATTATCCTATGATGGCTGCACAAGGCATTTTAATTGAAGCCATAGAGCATGAAGAAGCAAATAATCTTCTTGCTAATGGAGTTACTTCACCTTCACAATCGAATGATACCTCAACTACTGGTGGTCTTCGTTTTGATGGTCGAGAAAATCTCTATTTAGTTACAATGAATGGACAACGATTTATTATGACTGAAGAATATATTAAACAAATTGTATTAGAAATTCAGCAACAACAACAACAGCAACATTTTCAACAACAACAACATTTTCATCAACAACAACAACAACAATTTCAACAACCACATTATTCCTATCAACCACCACATCCACAACCACAACAACCAGTTCATGATAATGTTTACTATACTACATGAATGTGAATCGCAAGTTTTCTTCTATTTCTAGTAAATAAACAATTCAGAATTAAAAAATTTACCCAAAAAAAAAATTAAAAATAGACCAGTTTCATGTATAACTTTTTTTGTATTTTGTTTTCTTTTTTTTTTGCGCTATTAATAATTGTTGTTTATATTATTCTTATGATTATTTGTTAAAGATATAGGATTTTAAATGAAATTTTTAATATTGCAATTCAATTGTGATGTAATCAATTATATAACTGTTGATAATTGAGTACGATAAAGGTCGAAAAGTAAACGTTTTACCTGGAATATCAATTAGTAACTCAGCAGTGTGAAATGAACCAATAACCAAAACTAATTAATAAATAAATGTAATTTCGATTGATAAGAAAAAACATATTGCATATGTTACTTGTAGACGTCTATAAATGAATATCTTGAGACTGATAGTAAGAGTAGAATATAGTCATGAGTTATATTCGGTGTCAACGAAAGTATAAAAAATACTTAAATATTTAAACTTAAAGAGAGTAACTAGCGAGATTTATTACTATTTATCTTTTGTCTAATGCATCAAACATATAACAGATTGAAAGACTTTTTTCATTTATTTTGTCTAACAAAATATGTTATACAGGTAGATACTTTATAAATATTGGTGATATTTTTTTCTAATTTCCTGACATCAATGCACGAAACAAATACAATTCTATATTTCTTGTTTGTAAATATATATTTTGTGTAAAATGATATCGTCTAATTAATATTATTTGAAAATATACACAAATTCTTAAAAATTATGATCATTTTTTCCATTTGTTAAAAGATATTTAACATATTTTTGAAAGAGCTCTTCGTTATACATCTGTCGGAAGTTAGCGATACGGAAATGAGAAAAAGAAGAAAAAAATATATTGACTTGGTACGTGTACTATAAAAAATGACTACAATATTTTTTATGACAGAAAATTATTACAATTACTTAAAAACCCTGGAAATCTTTTTTTTCTTGTATAATATCATATGTCCCATGTAGAACAGTACACAGAAGATTTCATAGAAGCACCATGCTATACTTGATGAGAAAATCTCAAAAACTTTTCCGAAGAATGAATTCATCACCTAGAGGTTTACGCAACGAAAGAAACTTCATATAATGAATTGTTATTTTACTAAAAACGTTATCCATAGCAACATATTAATTTTCTTTTCAAGGTAGCTTCTGTTATTCTCAACATCAAACAAGAACGCAAAAAAAGAAATGCTCCATGGTTTTCATGCTGCACATAAAATAAGAAAAAACCCATACGTTTACTGCAAAATATAATCTCATTTGTTAATGGTACGGAAAAAAAAAGAAAATTATACTATTTTTTCATTATATTGATGGAATGCAAAAGTTGTGAAATGTAAAAACAAAGAGAAAAATGAAAGGATGTTTATCACTCTATAAACTGTTTGTTTCATTTTAAGTTAAGTTCATTTCATTGACAGAAAAATCTCGTTGTGTATGGCTTCTACCAAGTTGTTTCTATTTCTTCTTCACCTCTTTATTTCACAATCAATCGAACAAGATATACGTTCATATAAAATGTCTGTAAAAAAAGCTTGGCAGTTTCAATGTTCTAATACGACTTGTTTACCATTCGCCACTGTTTCCGCATCACGTATTCTTAAATGCCAAACAACTTGTTTAGCTTACGAACACTGTCAAGCGGCCAGTTTTTATCAATCAACTTCTAATTGTCAAATGTTTGCTTACATACAAAATCAACTGGATAATATGGTAGCTAACGTGGACGTTACTACTCTGATTGTCATAACTGGTACTCGAACACCACCAGGCTAGTACACATATAAAATCTATTAAGATATTCTTTTAGGGAACATTCTTCTTTGTTCAGATCAATATTGACGAATAACATAGTCAGTTTCCTTAAAAAACAAAAGTAAATTCAGCAAAAAAATTCGCACATAGTAATAAATAATTGAAATATCTATATATCTGTAGTGTTTAATAAACTACCGCTAAGGATCTATTCGTTTCTGAATATGTATATATTAAATACAATGGATTAGTGAATTCTATCACACTCACTGAACTACAATTTCATTCTGATTCTGATTCCTTTAAACTCCCCTTTTCCTTAATTTTCATCCGAAAGATTTCTAATAAGAAGCCCTATAGTATTACTATCAAACAAGAAGAATGGTACTAACATCTTCATGAGTCATTCTAACCCATTAGATACTAGAGAAATAATATATAGATAAGATCGAGCTCAATTATAATCAAAATTTATTTAATTTTTTCTTTGAATTTTATATTACTTGTATTAAAAATAGAACCAACGACTACGACATCAACATCAACATCAACATCGACTACAACGTCAACAACAACAACAACGTCGACAACAAAAACGTCGACTACAACATCAACAACAACAACGTCGACCACAACGTCAAAAACAACAACAACAACAACGTCGACTACAACATCAACAACAACAACGTCGACCACAACGTCAAAAACAACAACAACAACAACGTCGACTACAACATCAAAAGCAACAACAGTGGCGGTAACGGCTGTTACTTGCAATTGTTCTACTTATGGTACATGCGCAGGATATCGTGGTTCATCGGGTTATCCCATCGCTTGTGGTAATTATGCTCATGATGGTAGTGGTTACATGGCATGTGTTTATGATGCTGACAATGGTTACATTAGTGGCAGTAGTAATGATTGTTCATTGTGTTGCAGTCTTGGTAGTGGTACTTATGGAGCTTATGCTGGTCGTTGATAAACCAAATATGATTCGAACATGCAGAAACTTTCTCTTTAATACAAACATTTAGAAAATCGCTTCAGAATATCATCGTCATAATCTGATCATCACTTTTCATTTTCCAGTCTTGCTCTAATCTTATAAATAAATATCCTTCAATTGAAAACTATTTTTCATTTCAGAGTTAAATCATCGTAAATATTATTCTCAAGGACTTTAAAACAAAAGAGAAAAATGATTCGAGTTATCAAAACTTGCTAGAGTTAATATTTTTTTTCTTCTTTAAAAGCCAACGGCAGATTCTATTCATTGTTCTTCGTGAATACATCATACGATTCAGAGAGGATCTTCAGCAATTTTGAAAGCATCATCATTATTTCACACTCATATCCATATCCACTCTCAAGAACAAATATTGCCGTTCATCAACTTAGGTAAATTAAGAATATTAGATCAAATCTATTTTAATCTAACTGTTTTTTGATGAACAAATCTTTTGGAATATTCTTTTCTTATTACATTAGTTTATAATTGCCATCTTGAGACTGTAGGTACCTATGTGAGAAATTCAAATTGTACAAACAATATATATTTATTAACTGATAGAAAAATTGAATAAATCAATAGAAATTATTTCTAGCGCGTTTAATATATAAAGAAGCTAATTCTACTTTATATCTTTTTCTTATTTTCTATATATATCTAATACAAAATATGTCGACTGAACAAAAAGATGAAAAATTTACACTTCATTTTCTTGATTGTGATTGTACATGTTGTGGTGTTCGTCAGCGTTATATTCCTTCATTAGCATGTAATATTGATCATTCACAATTTCAACAATTAGTTAAAGATCTATCAAAACCACGATATGGTTTAGATTGTAATTGTCTATGTGGTACAAAATCTCCATCAACAACAACAAAAGATTCATGTGCATGTCCGACATCTAATACTACTACAACAACACCTATTCAAGTTAATTTTAGTGTAGATACAGGTGTTAAACAATTATCAAATATACCAGTATCTTTACAAAAATAATTATACATAGTCAATATTAATTTTGTTCTGATTGATGAGTATCTTCCTTCTTATTCGATAATAAAATTGTTAAACTAAATGAAATAAAACTAATCAGAAGAAACATTAGCGATATTAACATAATTGATTTGTAATTTCCTGTTAAATCAAGAAATGAACCTAATAGAAAAGAAAAAGATTATTTCTCATAATCTATCAAATGAATATAAACTCTACCTCCAATAATTGGACCTAAGATTAAACCAAGACTTGTAATAATTACATGATAGATATATCCTTGTTCTGTTTCATCTTTATCAAATAATTGATTTGAAACCGTGTATTGTAATGATGTTGTAACAGCGGATGTAAAACTAAATACTATATAGAAATCGATTATATATATATGTATTTTCTTAGAATTAACTTACAAACTATTGGTAAAATTGCTAATGCATTTATACTTGTATAAAGTAAACCGAATACTAATAATAAAAAGATAAAACCAGTAAAAACACATGTTGGAAATAGATAAATTATATTGACGGGATATAAATGAATAAAAAGTGGAATTGAAAGACGAAATAATGCATCAAATAAACCATGTAAACGAAACCAAAGATCAGCGCGAGCAGAAGCAAAACCAAGATATTTCAGATAACTTTCCTATAAAAAAAATTAAATTTACAAGTAAAAAATTTCGAACTATAAAACATTAACATACCAAATGAAGAAGAAAATTATTAACTGCTGACATTGTAGTAAATATTCCTATCAACCAAACAATAATTGGTAATGAAAAACGACTTTTTCGATTATTATTATTCTGTGTAACTGTTATCGATGGACGTTGATATTCTAATGGTATATTGGATGAATATTTCATTGTAAAAATAGGACCAAGTATACAAGTAGCAATTAATTCAATGAAAGCTAGATGTCTTTTCATTATTTGCCATTCATTTTTTTCAATTGATGAAAATACCCAAGCACTCATTATATGATAACCAATTGGAAAACCTGTGGATATAATACACATTATAGAAATATGTTTGATGTGTTGATTAACTGGATAATAATGACCACAAATTAATGTTCCAAGAATAAATATAGCTGCATTAGCAAATCCATATGGTAGTGAATAAGTTATTAATAACCAATGAAGATTATGAATAAGTGATGAAATAAATAATGATATAACACATGTGAGAAGTGAACAAATAAATGTTAATTGATATCCATATCGGCGAGCTAAGAAAAGAATCAATGGAGCAAGAAGACCACCAAAACTTTGTCCAATACTACCAATCAAACCTGAATGATACATATTTTATTTATATTTTATGTAATAAAAATAAGAGTTCAATATATACTTAATTCTGTATCGGATATATTTAAATGTTGTTTTTTAAGCTGAACAATTACTGTTCCATAACTCCAACAGAAACCATTGAAAATAATTCGACTTATAAATGTACTAAGAACAATTAAAATACCATAATGATTTCGAATTGTATCAAAATCCTAAATTAAATATAATTTTTTTGTTATTATTTTAAAAATGGTTTTGAATACATACCATATTAAGTTATTTTTTTTATAAATGTCTATTTAATCTGAACATTAACGAATTATGACGAGAACAAAAAAAATGATTTTTACACAATTCTTTATTCCAGTTATAACAAAAAAACGGATGCAAGTCTTCCTTCTCTATTGTAAACAGTAAGATAAGAAACATGTTTGGCATTGTTAATAGAATCAGCAAATTGAAAAATAAGATTGACAAAAACAAACAGAGTAAAAATAAATTGACATAACATCTTTAATATCCGTTCTTTTTGTTGTACCAATATTGTTTAATCGTTATTGTTGGTAGACATATCCGGAGATGAACAAGAATTAATATTGTGCATGACAACAATGATAATTGGTAACATTTATTGAATAGACACATATTTTCTTGAAAGATATTGACAACTAAAGTTTTTATTATAATAAAATACTGTTGAAATGAATCATGTTTTCGTTATTCACAAGATTTGATGATCAATGAAATATTAGTTTAGAACTTATGACGCAAGTGTATCAGAAATGGATCGAGACTAAAAACTAATTCGTTTTACTTTAATTTTTTATTGACGGAACCATTTGTATTTTTAAACCATTAATATATATACGAAATCCAATTCATAATGCATATGACACTTGTGTTCTACCTTTAAAGTTTATTCGATGATTTTATTTTCAAGACAAGCAGAATTTATCGACAAACGATATGTGTCAATCACACTAATATGGATCATATTGATTGCTTCATACCACTATAAATTACAAATGTTCTGACGTTAGTGTCATCACACATTTACTTATTCATTTTCATATCTATTCTAATTATAGAAGAGAACAAATCGAATGTATCATGTCAATTCTATTTAGTTTGTTCTTCCATATAGAGTTAGAGATCAAAATCGATTCAATTCGAAATAATCTTTCAGAAGCAAGTCAATATAAGCAAATCAAAGTAGAAAAGAATCGATTGATTTTATATTTATTAAGTAGATTTGTCATTTTGTCATGAATAATCAGATAATATTTGATAAATTATTTTATATTATAACTAAATCTTCATGTAATCTTTTTTTTAATCTTTTAACATATTGTTTTATTCTGTTCATTAGAATCAGTCATTTCTATGTTATATAAATTTTTAAAGTTATTTCTTTCATTTATTCGAGGATGTGTGTTTAGAATGATTTAATACTGGCATCTACATCCCATCCTCTTGATGTTGCTCCACATGCTGTTAATTTCAGTGCATTTAGTCCAAAAGAAATCATTGTTCGTGCTGGTGAAGATCTTACAATTACTGTACCATTTGTTGGCTCACCTGCACCACAAGTTACATTTGCTAAAAATGGCGATGAAATTAAATCTGATGGAAAGAATTAAGTAACTGTTAAAGATGGTATTGCTGAACTTATTGTACCAAAGGTAAAAGGTGGTGATACTGATTTATATTCATGTACTTTAAAAAAATCATCTTGGCCAAGAAACTGTTCAAATGAAAGTTATTGTTGTCGATAAACCAGGTTAGTTCAATTATTTTCAAAAATTAAATTCTAATATTTTATTTGGATTTTAGATACACCCGAATGAGCATTAAATATTTCTCATGTGAAACCTGATTCATGTTTATTGACATGGAAACCACTCAAGACTGATGGTGGTTCGCCAATAACTAATCACATTATTGAAAAATTTGATACGAAAAAAGGTGAATGGCAAAAAGTATCAAGTTTTTGTCGTTCACCATTTTACGAAGTTACTGGACTTAATGAAGGTTCAGAATATAAATTTCGTGTTTCGGTTGAAAATGTTTATGGATATTGCAAAAAATCCTTATGGTAAGTTTTTATTGAAACAAAATTTAATCGATAAAAATATCTTTTCCTGCCAATTATGTTTAGATGCATCACAAGGTCCAGCTAATGTTGAAGTTGGTAAACAAACAGAAAATTCAGTTACATTAAAATGGAATAAACCTAAAAATGATGGTGGCTCAAAAATAGCTGCGTATCAAGTTGAAATACGTAAACCAGTTAGTGATATATGGGAAATTGCAGATGATTATTCAGTTAAAGGAATTGAGTTTACAGTTGATAATCTCTCAACAAGAAAATCATATGAATTTCGAGTTAAAGCAAAAAATGCTGCTGGTTGCGGAGAATATACTAAACTTGTGTTACATAGTCATATCTTTTATTTTCATATAGTTCTTTCTGTTCACTTGTATATATATATATATATCTTTCTCTCTCGTATATCTCTTTCTTTCTCCTCCGTTCATATCTTGTTTCTCTTTCGTACATCGGGTACTTGTGTGACCTTTCTGGACCTCGATCCATTGTCTGTCTTTCTTATGAACTTAATAAAGACAAGAAACTTCTTGACGAATTCTTCTCTTTATTCATTTC